TATTATTTGTTATACGTGTTTCTTAGATATTTTTTACATGATTCGATAGAGTTTGACAGCGTCTACGAGAATATGAATATCAAAACAGAAAGCTATCATTCTATTTCAACTATAAACCTTGAAAAAGATCAAAAAGACTAATAAAATCTAGCACATTTTCAATTACAGAGAGTATGATTAATTTTCAATATTTGAAGTGAATGGATTATTTTATTTGTCCATGATGTTGAGAAACGTTGTTCCAATAGCATCTACACAACATTGGATCTCTACATGTAAATTTTAGACTGTTCAGATATAGGGTTGTCAAAACCTTATTGAAGTTACATGGATACTCTACAATCGATCAGGATTATAGATCTGTAACGCCAGTACCAATATTCAAAATCTTAACAGTCAGCTTCGTTTTTCTGGCACTTTGTGATTGATATTGGAAGATAAACTTTCTCAACAAACCTAAAATATATTCGAAGAAAAATATACGGCTACTTTTCTGTTTTCGGAGTAAATAAGGCAGAAGACAAATATCGATATAAAATTAATTTGATATTTTGTCAGATATGTAAGTCAGTTCATTTAGTAGTATTGTATTGCATACTTAAAAATGGTTCTCATCGTGCAATAGCCGTGTAGTCTGAAACTCTTTTTATTCAAGATGGAATTTTATCAAATGAAATTTTAGAAGCCTCTACAAGCTTTATGAGTAGACAAAATAATTAATTCATTCAAACTATTGAAAGTAAACTGTACTCTCTATAACTCAAGATGTGCTAGGTTTTCAGTGGTCTTTTATTATTTTTCTGAGTTTTATATTGTAAGGAGGATAGAAATTCTTTGTTCATATTCATTTTCTTCTAGAACTTATTGAACTTTACAGTATCATATATAAAATATCTAGAAAAACCGTGTAGAAAATAATATTTTGCTTGCATTTAATGACCCAAAAATTATGAGAAAACAATTGTTGTTTTATTCAAAAAAGACTCAAGATTTCAACAGTTAGCAAGGACTAATAAAATGATGATAACCTTTTAGAATTTCGACACAATTTGAATCCTCTTTTATTTCAAACAATAGCTTCAATTATTGTCATTAAAACTGTAAATTGAAAGATTGCAGAATGTTTTTAAAACGAAATTTACTAATCTATCGTCTGTTTATGTTAAAAACAGTTAGAAACATCAGATTTAAATGAACTTTCGATTATATTCCACTTTAAGCATAATAAAGTGATAATTAAAAGTTATTGTTTGATTTGAATCCGTTGAATGTTCATAGGATCACTTTCTAAAAGCTGATCAAATTTTCAATGAAAATCGAAAGGAAGAAATGCTAATAATTATAATTATAAAATTCTTGTTGAATCATGTCAATATATTTTTCCAAAATGCTTTTGTCTTTCGTTTCATACTGTGTTAGAATACATCTAAAACTCGGTTTTTTGTGAAGAAAAGATTTCAAGAAAGGAAAACAAAGAAATATCTGTTCGAAAGTCAAAATGAAATTTCAAAACTAGAGAACAGAAATATGCTTCGTTGGCTCTTTAGACAATGCTTTTTGCTAATGAATAGTTCCTCAAAACCGAACTTTTGAAGAAGTTGTGTTTCTTAAGTTCAAGATATTTAAAACCACAACAGAATAAAAAGTTAGCTGTTATTCTGATTGAATATCTGAGACGGTACATTACAGTTGTGTGGTTTACCTAGTTTGATAGTTTCGAACAAGTAATGTTCATAAAAGATTGTCGTATTTTATCTTATTTTCGCAAGACTTCGTGAAATCAGCATAACACATATTCACACCTACTATGTGATGAAGTCACACATATGTTAGATATGTTTAAGAAGATTGATATTTACATTCAAAAAATCCTATTGACAACATTAGTGTTGATAGAACTCTGGTAAGATTTTCTTTTTCTTTTTTCTTCTATTCTTATACAATAACCAATCACATAAAATATTATATAGAAGGCACTACATATCGTCCACTGTTATCATACAAAAATAAACTGACAAAAAAATTTCTTCTACCGCTACATTTATTACGCTATCCCATGATGACCCTAATTCTCTCTTCATCTCTCTCATTTTACAAACGTCACTTTTTCACACAGACACTCACCACACTACAGCTCTCTCGCAATCAAATCGGAGCTGTCGGAGCACAACATCTTGCTGATGCATTACAAAACAACACGGTGACCCTCATTCTCTCTTCATGTCTCTCACTTTACTATCGCCACTTTTTCACACAGACAGTCACCACACTACATCTCTCCTGGAATCAAATCGGAGACATAGGAGCACAACATCTCGCTCATGCATTACAAAGCAACACAGTGACTCTCATTCTCTCTTCGTCTTTCTCATTTTACCATCACCACTTTTTCACACAGACACTCACCACACTATATCTCTCTCGCAATCAAATCGGAGCTGTCGGAGCACAACAACTTGCTGATGCATTACAAACCAACACGGTGACCGTCATTCTCTCTTCATCTCTCTCATTTTACTATCGCTACTTTTTCACACAGACACTCACCATACTAAATCTCGAAGACAATCAAATCGAAGCTGACGGAGTACAACATCTGTCTGATGCATTAAAAAAGAACACGGTGACCCTCATTGTCTCTTCATCTCTCTCATTTTACCATCGCCACTTTTTCACACAGACACTCACCGCACTACATCTCTCTCGCAATCAAATTGGAGCTGTCGGAGCACAACATCTTGCTGACGCATTACAAAATAACACGGTGACCGTCATTCTCTCTTCATGTCTCTCACTTTACTATCGCCACTTTTTCACACAGACAGTCACCATACTACATCTCTCCTGGAATCAAATCGGAGATGTCGGAGCACAGCATTTGGCTGATGCATTACAAAACAATACGGTGACCCTCATTCTCTCTTCATCTCTCTCATTTTACCATTGCTACTTTTTCACACAGACACTCACCACACTACATCTCTTCTGGAATCAAATCGGAGACAAAGGAGCACAATATCTGGCTGATGCATTACGAAACAACACGGTGACCGTCATTCTCTCTTCATCTCTCTCATTTTACCATCGCTACTTTTTCATACAGACACTCACCACACTACATCTCTCCTGGAATCAAATCGGAGACATAGGAGCACAACATCTGGCTGATGCGTTACAAAACAACACAGTGACCCTCATTCTCTCTTTATCTCTCTCATTTTACCATTGCCATGTTTTCACACAGACAGTCACCATACTAAATCTCTCCTGGAATCAAATCGGAGCTGTCGGAGCACAACAACTTGCTGATACATTAAAAAAGAACACGGTGACCTTCACTCTCTCTTCATCTCTCTCATTTTACCATCATCACTTTTGCACACAGACACTCACCATACTAAATCTCGAAGGCAATCAAATCGGAGCTGTCGGAGCACAACATCTGTCTGATGCATTACAAAACAATATGGTGACCCTCATTGTCTCTTGATCTCTCTCATTTTACCATCACCACTTTTTCACATAGACACTCACCATACTGCATCTCTCTCGCAATCAAATTGGAGCTGTCGGAGCACAACATCTTGCTGATGCATTACGAAACAACACGGTGACCGTCATTCTCTCTTCATCTCTCTCATTTTACTATCGCTACTTTTTCACATAGACACTCGTCATACTAAATCTCGAAGACAATCAAATCGGAGCTGTCGGAGCACAACATCTGTCTGATGCATTACAAAACAATACGGTGACCCTCATTGTCTCTTCATCTCTCTCATTTTACCATTACCAATTTTCCACACAGACACTCACCGCACTACATCTCTCTCGTAATCAAATCGGAAACATAGGAGCACAATATCTCGCTGATGCATTACAAAACAACACGGTGACACTCATTCTTTCTTTATGTCTCTCACTTTACTATCGCCACTTTTTCACACAGACACTCAGCACACTACACTTCTACAATAATCAAATCGGTCAGGAACTTGAAGCTCGTTTGTACGAATTGATAAAACGGAATAAGCTAGGAAAAAGATAGTGAACGTTGGTTTCAAGGATGGTTTTACCGGAGAACTAAAATTTTGGATTGAATTTGTGATTTGATGTTTTTTTTATTTGAAAATGACAATAAAGTGCTTTATTTTTGAATTTGAGACGTTCGAGTTTTTTGAAAACTGAAAGGTGAAAGACATGGAAATTGTTTTCTCGTTCGAATCTTGTTACGTAAATAAGTGCAGGTAAAAGAGATTGAGTATTTTTCAATTCCTGATGATTATTGTATATGAGTGAAAATTTGTTTTCGAGATGTCATTAGTATTTGACAGTTGTGGTGATATTTTGTTTTTGTAAGTTTAGAATATGAATAACATCAATAGTTATTTGTACTTAGAGGTGTAAGCCATCCAGCTGAGCCGCCGCCCATAAATCATAGGTTATTTTAAAAATTTTTCAGGAGTGGCCGCCGTCAGAAAAGCAGAATCAGTCGTTGCGCCGCTGTCACTAAAAAAAATCTTTCATGACACGTCTTCAATTCTTCAATTTTCCCTTCTATATTTTCATTTTTTTTCGACGCATTCCTATTCGATGTTTTCCTTTTCTGTGTTTTTCATCAAACTCCGCTGCTTAAGCAATCATCAAAATTATGTTTGTTTTTGTCGTTGATTGATTTCTTTTTTGTTCTGTGATGAGATTCTATCATCTTTGGCTCTTTTACTGCATAGTGTATTGGTCTTCTTTCATTCTTTTGATGTAGAATGTTGTTAAACAGAAATTTGCAAGTTAAGAATCAGAGCGGGCAAGTAAATTATATGTTCTTTATTTAATTAATCATAGTTAAATTAGTTGACTTTAGTTTACCAGAAAAATATAGTGAATTACAATATTTTGGTTCTAATTGCTTGTTTTATATAGTTTATTATACAAACTTGACAATAAATCCGGCGTGTATATGGAACAGAGTATAATAAAAATAAAAGATTTTAATGAAAAAATTAATGACACATAGGAGGTCGTGATACAATAGGCATAAATGAAGTCGTTTGGTAATCAGTTTTAACCATATGTCGTAATTGACTTTTGACAGATTCATGCCGATTAGACTAAAATAAAACTGAATAGACATTCGAAAATAAATTTTTATTTATTTATTTACCACATTTTCGTTAGCCGACATCTAAAGTTCAAAAAAAAAACAATAAAGCAATGAGTATCTATTTATCTATATATATATATATATGTTAGCATCCAATCTAAGATCTCACTTTGAATCACCCACGGTGATGCCTTGCATTTAAGATGAGATCCCAATCATTACGTAAGGTCTATTGAAACTAGAAGAAACCTTGAAGGATTCTTTCTCATATGCTACCCTTTTGGTGGAGTATCGTAGTTTTTTGTGGACTTAATATCCCGACAAGAGATCAACGTTTTTGACTGAAATTTTTAGGAGATTCTAATAATATCGAGAGCTATCTATGAGCAAAGTTCTAGATCAAAATTTGTTTATTCAGTTTTGTTTTATAAATACTGTGCCAAAGGTAAAAAAATCCAGTGTAATGAACATAACTTTAAAAGGGCAGAGTATGGGGAAGAAGCTTTCTTCTAGTCTCAATAGTCCCTACGTAACGACTGAAGTCTCATCTTAAACGCCAGGTATCACTTTGGGTGGTTCCCTCGTGAGATTTGCCTAAAAGTTTTAGGCGAATCTTAGAATGGACATATTGTAACTGATTAATCCGAGAATGGTGTGAACTAATGCCCGTCCAATGTTGGATCTCAGATTAGACACTAACATATATGTATACAGAATAAAAAATAACTGACCATAAGATGCATACAAATTCGACGTTTACGTGATTTTGATTGATTTTCTTCATGTAACATATTATTTGGTGATTCGGATGGATTCATTTCGATTTCTCGAAAACCAAATTTAAGAACATGATGTGGAAGATGGCTAAATGAAAAAAAAAATGAATAAATCAAAATAGTTATAGACAGAAAGAAAAAATATTCTCTACATTTTTGAACCACGAATAGGTGGTAAAAATCTCTTGCTATGATTATCACGAGATATGACTGTTGTATAATTATAATCATTTACTTCATACTCATCATCTATGTTTGGTATTGATTGTTTTGTATCACTAAATTAGAAATGAAAGATATTTTTTGTTTTATTGAAAATAATTCTCTTACGTTTGTTTAGTCGAAGAACTTTCAACAGTTGATTCATCCTAAATTTAATATTAATTATAATCAGAAAAGACTTAGAAGAATATTATACTTGTTTATTATTATTAAATATTGATGCAATTTGTTTAACAATTGGATCATTCCAAATAACAGGAACAAGATTTTGTGGTATTCTTGTATGAAGTAATGGAATAAATTTTGGATAAGACTGAATAATTTTTTGAAGATAATTTTCTGAATTAAGTGTTCCTTGAGATTTTAATACTAAATATAAAATCATAGAATTTCTATATTTAGAAAAAAAAAGAGAACAAATACATACATTGAACAAGAAGCCAAGCATGAGTTACATCCATCTGTTTCAAACTTGAAAGATTTAATGGTGTTGAGGATATTAATTTTGATTTTTTTTGTTCTCGATTAGTTTTCATAAGATTTGATAATGCACCTTCTATACTTTGAGCTTTCTGAATATTGATACCTGAAAAAGATTATTATAAATATAAATTTCATCTACGAACTAGATGCTTTTTTTCCTTAAATTCGAAAGACTAATAATACAATGATTAAATTCTAAAGCTGTTACAAAAATTGTTAACAACATTTTACATTACTAACTGCTGATAAATAATGAATTTCTTTATCAAATATATCAATATAAGACTCTTGTGACTATGAATTTCAGTTTTGCTTTTGAACTTTAAAAGAATAATTCAAAACTTGACTAGTTTCGTAGTACTAGAAGATTTTTCTTGATCAATTGGAAGTTTTAAATTTTATTAATCTCGTATGATTTTTCAAGAGTACTAAACGATATACTAGCGATGATGATTTAAATATTTTTCTCGAGACAGAGCAGTACCGTTTGGTCATCGAGTTCGCATCTAAGACAATATTCGATATACACAATAAACTAAATCAAACTTTGATTTTTATTCAAAAAAAAAGAAAAGTTTAATCTATTTGAAAAAAATTAAGAATAAAACAAAAGTCTTCGTTTAATATATTATTTCCATCTATGAATATACTTTTAGTCATTACCCTTAAGGTCAGTATAGCAGAGAAACATACGCTGAACACCGACACAGGCAATAAATCTCTGAGAACCGAAAGTGAAACTAATTTTTTGCAGTATTCCAACGAATTTACTCTAAAAGAATTCAGTCATGTCGACAAAACATCAGTTTTCACCATTGCATCTGATTATCGACAGAAATCCTATAATATAACTAATCGCAAAAAGATTACTTCTAATATTCCATCAATCTTATCTAATTACAACTATTTGAATAATTATTCAATAATAGATATCTTATTATTCGCATATGAAATCTTATATCCATCCACATAATAGTCCATTACGAGTATTCTCTTTCTTTTTGATTCAGTTGTGATACATTTTACTATTTTTCATTACTATTTGCCAAAACAAAAATCTATACCTTCTTTTGCAGCTTTTCTTTGTGCAGTCGATTGAATATGAGCAAATTGTCTTGATGTTGGTCGTTGATGTATAATATGTGGTAATTTTGTTGGAGAATTTACATGTAATTGATATGTATTTGATGATGTATGTATTTGCATTGGTGAAATACTTAACGCATTTGCAAAATTTCCTGTCGATGAACCTGGAATAATTTTTTCATGTTGTCTATGTACTTGTAAAGCACGTACAATAAGTGATGAAAGTAATTGTATAAATTCAACTTCATTTAATTGATTTTGATTATGATTTAAATTCGATAAATTCATTGTATTTTGTATACGTGATGATAATTGTAATGAATCTTGATTAATAATCATATGTGAATGATCACAAAAAGTATTACTCATAGAAATTTTTTTTGGTATAAGTATACGACGATTTTGTATCATACGATAAAAACCAACAGTTCTTTTATGTTCTTCAAGAATTGTTTGAATTGGATCATTGATTTGTTCTTGATTATTAATTAATGTTTGTGGTTCCGGAACAATATTCACTGGAGATTCATCAATATCTTTCTGTTCAGTAGTTTCTAAAATAAATAAAACAAGTAACGCGACGCAAGCGTCGCTAACCCTCTACTGAAAGGATGTGATTTCCTTGAACATATGGTACTCACGAAGAAGAAGATTACATAACTAATGTGCTGCTATGCATCTATAAAAAGATAAATAGTTCTCGTCACCATGACCCGCTTGCTAATTGATTGGATTTGATTTAACCATCGTGGGGTGTGGATGTGTGTGGGTGTGGGGCATGTGTGTGTCGGGTGTGGGGTGTGTATGGGTGTGGGGTGTGGGTATGGGGTGTGGGCGTGTGTCTTCACTTCATCCATACTCAGACACACCCCACATCCACCCACCCACACCCCACGATGGTTAAATCAAACCCAATCAATTAGCAAGCGAGCCATGGTGACGAGAACTATTTATCTTTTTATAGATGCATAGCAGCACATTAGTTTTGTGATCTTCTTCTCCGTGAGTACCATATGTTCAAGGAAATCACATCCTTTCAGTAGAGGGTTAGCGACGTTTGCGTCGCGTTACTTGTTTTTTTGAACAACCTCATCAAATTTAAAGAGTTTAAACTAGTTGTGATAAAGAACATTCTTGAATTCTATCATTTTGAAAATAATCTGGGTAGAGGAACCTTAATATAGTTGAAGAATCAAAAAATAGATGTTTTGAAAAATATTAGCCGCCTTGCAACACTAGATTTCTCTAGAGCGAGCACCCTTATATGATTCGCTAGACATTTAAATGTTGTACCGTCATCAGAAGCAGACCTCGAATTTCAGTTGCTTATCCTTGATTAAGTCTGATCAAGCTTAATACAGATATATGATCATATTCAGTTGTTTGGGATGTCATATTTTCTTATCCTGAACTCTGACTTTCCTGAATAAAACGGAGAGACAAGCATGTATGGCTTTTTAAGTGGGATATGTATTGCTATATGACTGTTTCTTTAAGAAAACGAAATTAGATGTCGTTTAGTTGTTTCCGTTTGTTCAGCGAGTTCAGTAGCATGACCAAGCGGCGACCACCCTAAATCAGAATAACTTGAAAAAAAAACATGTTTTTTCAAAATTATAGTATTGCGCACAGCTTCTTGAAACCTTCCCAAGCAGACAAAACTTTCCGAAAATGCGTGTACACACCATAAAACTGACTTTTTCAAGCGTTTACACGTGTTAAAAAAAAGATGGCCGTGTAAACACTCAGAATTCTAAAATTCCACAGGTGAAAACGTACAGTTTTTTTGTATTGAATATTTGTAGACGTTTAAACACCTCGAAAGCTTGCTTTGTAATCATGTAAACGGTCATTGGCTCCAAAAACGCATTTCACGCATCAAAAAGTTGAGATTTTTGCGCGTTTTCCCTAACACTTTTATCGTTCGGATTTCTGCGATAATTATTGACCACATTCATCCTTCAAAATCGAGGGTTCTGGACGTTATTTTCTCCATATATTTTTTAGATTAACTATTCCTAAAATTCAAGCGTTTAAACGATGGGTGCTTCAGTATTTCAACATAGTGCAGCATCAAATATTTCGGACACCTTTTTTATAGTAAATAGTAACTGTTTAGACGGCTAGTTTCATTGACTTCCAGGCGTTTCGAGATGTTAACTTTTTTGTATCTGCATAGTTCTAAATTTTAAGCGTTTAAACGGCTGATATAATGTATTTCTAGGAGTTTTTTATACATGAATTTTTTTCATATCTGCATGCTTCGAAATTCTAAACGTTTAAACGAATGACATCATCGACTTTTAGCAATTATCACGCATGAATTTTTTCGTATCTGCTTAGTTCAAAATTCTAAACCTTTAAACGGCTGTATAATGAATTTTCAAGTGTTTTCATACATGAATTTTCTCCTATTTGTATGCCTCAAAATTCTTAACGTTCAAATGCCTGATGTCAATAAGTTTTAGGAGTTTCAATATAGAAATTGTTTTATATTTACATAGTTCAAAATTCTAAACGTTTAAACGGTTCATATAAAGGATTTCTAGGAGTTTTCATATACGAATATTTTCATAACTGCATGCTTCAAAGTTCCAGATGTTTAAACGCCTGATGTCAATAATTTTTAGAAGTGTCGATATCGAAATTTTATTATATTTACATAGTTTAAAATTCTAAACGTTTAAATGACTGATGTCAATAATTTTTAGAAGTTTTGGTATAGAAATTTCCTTATATCTACATAGTTTAAAATTCTACACGTTTAAACGGTTGATATTAAGAATTTCGAGGAGTATTCACATGCGAATTTTTTCATACCTGCATGCTTCAAAATTCTAAGCGTTTAAACGTCTGATGTCAACAATTTTTAAGAGTTTCGATATAGAAATTTTTGTATATCTACACAGTTCAAGATTCTACATGTTTAAACGTTTGCTTTTTTGAATTTTTAGGAGTTTTCACATATGAATTTTTTCATATCTGCATGCTTCAAAATTCTAAGCATTTAAACATCTGATATCAACAAATTTTAGGGATTTCGGTATAAAAATTTCTTTATACCTATATAGTTCAAAATTCTTAACGTTTAAATAGCTGATATTAAGAATTTCTAGGAGTTTTCACATATGAATTTTTTTGTGTCTCCATCTTTGAAAATTCTAAACGTTTAAACGGCTGAGATAATGAATTTTTAGAATTTTTCATACATGAGTTTCTGCAAATCGGCATGCTTCAAAGTTCTAAACGTTTCAACGGATGATGTCATCAAGTTTTAGCAGTTCCCATGCATGAATTTTTGCGTATCTACTTGGTTGAAAATTCTAAACGTTTAAACGGCTGATATTATCAAGTTTTAGCAGTTTCGATATAGAAGTTTTTGTATGTCTACATAATTCAAAATTCTAAGCGTTTAAACGCATGATATTATCAATTTCTAGGAGTTTCTTTTGAAAAATTTTATCAGCTGCACATAGTTCGGAATTCTAAACATTTAAAAGAGTGCCATCATCAAGTATTAGGAGTTTCCATATAGAATTTTTTTTACATCTGCATAGTTCAAAATTTTAAATGTTGAAACGGCTGATATCATGGAATTCTAGGAGTTCCTATACATGAAGTTTTTCATACCTACATGCTTGAAAATTCTAGATTTTTTGAATGATTGATTTCATCAATTTCTAAGCATATTGGCATGGATGGCATTTTATTTGTAATTTTATGAAACTTTTGACTCTTCTAACCCCACGTTACAGCGAATGGTAGGTGTTTCTTTAAATGAAGTTCTTTGAACTTTTTTTATTTGTCTTGTTGTAAGGAGGACATTCGTCCGTGTTGCAGACTTTGTAATCGGTATTCTATATCGTATTGAGCGTTTGCAGTATGTTGTAAGGTTTTTAGATTAAACAGTGTCTGGCCAACTATCAGAGTCTTTCATAGGGTTACACATTAGTTGTGCGTTTGAGCTAAGGATTGTGCCAGAGAAAGTTCGTAAGGAGTGACTTACAGAAAAATTTCCTTTTGCGCACTTGAAAATCTTTGTCTGTGGTCTATTACTGTATTGCAGTTAAAATTTGGTTTTACATTTTTTAATAACAGTTGAAAGCGTTGCGTTTGTGACACAAAATGTTTTTACCATAACCATGTAATAAAATTAAAGCAGATTGTTTTTTTATTCGTATAGTTGGTATCGGACAATATTCCGCTTTATTCTTATGAAAACACTATTTTATGTCGTGGAAATCAATAAGGGGTTGGTTACTATTGGATATAAGTTTTGATTTTGTCAGACCAGAATGTAATATAGTATTTTATTTCTAATGATATGTTTATAAGTGAATAAGGAGATAGAGTCTCATCGCAAAGTACTTTATGGTAATATTTTTATCTGCATATTTCGAATTGTTAGTTGTAAAATAGAAAGAGTACCTTAGTGAATGGCGAAAATAGTAATGTTATGCAGTTAATCGATGAAAAAGAAAACTGTTTCGTGAAAATTAACTTATCCACAAGAATGTTCTGATTTGTTTTTCTCAAGTTCCTTGTCAATTATGTTCAACATATCGCAAGTTGAAAAAAAGGGAAATCAATAACATTTCATGCTTTAATATAAGTAATAATATAATGGCAGGCAAAGATTCGTCCTTAAACAACTGTGACATTGTTTTCTTGTAGTATTCAGCATAACTTGATCCATAATTTTCTGTTTTACATCAGCAGATGGTTTTAGTAACTATTCGTAAATTTTTCATTGACTGGTATACTTCAGTACCATGGAGTCCTGTTTTTTGGGCCTTCTACCATAATCTTTGTCTTGTCTGATTATTCATCCCAGTTTATATGCCTACGAAATCATATATCTTCTGGTGAATTGACTACGACTTAAGCTGCTAGAGCATCAAGTGACGTTGAAACAACAGACTACTCTATCAATGCGCCTCAAGTTTTCATTTAAACTAATATTTAATATAGTCACTGCGATAAATGTATATTACACAAACACTGGAATACAAAACCCAAACGGAGTGATAAAAGCGTGTGCGACTTCATTACATCATTTTTGGAATCTATGTTTTGTTAATAAGCTACAAAGATTGTTTTTTTGTCAGCTCAATAATTTACAAGCTTGTGTATTATTTATCTCTGACTTTTTTCATTTACTCCGAGTGACAATTATCAGAATTTTAAAGTAACATCTTTTCCAAGTTTATACTTCTGAACGTCTCTAGATGAATTGAAATTTGTATTAAGCAGCATTGAATTTCAAAAGTATAATGATATACTACTTTCAGAAAAGCTTTTCAACTGTAGATCATGTTAGAAGTTACCGTAAAAAGCAGAATCATTATTGATGACATGCTTTGTGCAGGAAGTTAGTCAAGTTCGATGTACCTAGCATCGAGCGGTCGATAACAGATTACATAGATTTCTTTAGATATGATATACATATAGATTTGCATTAAAACTATCTGTGGCAAATATATGTGACTTTTCTCTTATCAATTCAGACCAAATAATCACCAGTCCCAGCTGTAGTTGGTATCAAAAGTCAGGGATATCACTTTTTCTGCTAATATTCCCGCACTTTAGTTTCGGGTGAGAGCAATTGATCACAATTTTTAAATAAATGTCAATCAGTTGTCTTCTTTCTCTCCAAAACTAATGTCGACGCCAAAAGTAAATGGTGAAAACTCTGAGAGGAATATCTTCCGAACGGATACAGCTAGCGACCTGTGGTTTTCATCAATCGAAAGAGGAGGAGTGGGGGCGTCTTTTTCTCTGATAATGTATAAGACGGAATCCTTTTATAACTAATCATATTCGAAGAAGATGAAAAAGAACCCATGAGAATGACCTTCCAGCTAGATGAAATTTTGATTTTGACTTTTGATTTAGATAGAGGGACTTGAGATCTATAGCTCCAGATACAAGGCAAATGGTTGTCTTGTTACATTCTAACGTTGCGCAAATGAGATCATGTACTTACATGCGCAAATCATAGGGATTTTCGCTAGTTTTTTACTAAGTTTTTACAGTTTATATCAAGGTAGCTTGAGATTTCGAGGAAAATGTAGGAAAAAGTAAGAAAGCGCATTGTGTCTGGAATTATAGATCTCAAGTTTCTCTATCTAAACCAAAGCTCAAATCAAAATTTCATCTAGCTGACAGGTCATTTTCATGGGTTTTTTTGCATGTTCTTCAAATAGGATTAGTTATAAAAAGATTCCGTCGTATACATTATCGGAGAAAAAGACGCCCCCACTCCTCCTCTTTCGATTGGTGAAAATCGCATGTCGCTAGCTGAATCCGTTCGGAAGATATTCCTCTCAGAGTTTTCACCATTTACTTTTGGCGCCGACATTAGTAATTAATGAAAAAATGTCTTGAATTTTCTCCTAATGTATCATGCTACGTTTGAATATAAATCATTGATTAAAAAAGAATTAAACTGTACTTTTATCCTTGAAAAGATGAGAACATAGATGGTTACGTATGTTTCCACTTTCACATCCCATATAAAAAGAAGTATCAGAAAAATCATTTTAAGTTACTTCCAACTGTAGTCTTTAAGAAGGAAGTACTTGTAAGTAAATCATTTTAAGTACTTGTTGGTGCCTTTCTAATAAAAAGCACTGTCAAATACTACTGAAAGTGTGACAAGGTACTAAAACGTCCCAGAAATGGTAGAAAAAAGTAGAAAAATTCAATTTATTTTTCTCTATTAATTTTAAATGCAATTCATGGTATTTTTTTATTGGAGAAAGTACTAGAAGGTGCTTTTATTAATAACAGAGAAGAATAAATTGAATTGTTTAACTTTTTATTACTATTTCTAATGTGATTTAGTACTTTTTAACTCTTTAAGTAGCACTTAATGGAACTTTTTATTAAAAAAATTGTCAAAATGTATTTAAAAACGTTCACTTACAAATGTTTCTTTCTTCTTACAGAATACTTTTGAAAGCACTTAATACTGATTCTTTTATAATTTTTTTTTCTCCTTCAATAGTATGAATGGAGTCCGAACACAGATTTAGTTAATTGAAATGCGGTGACTTTCACCTATTCAATATTTAATTACAGCTTCCATTAGGCGTGATATGTATTACACGAATTCGTATAATTGATAAAAAACAATTGTATTCTGATTCTTCTTGTCATACATGTTGTGGGACATTCTGGGTATTTTTGTTTTCAAAAAAAACAGAACACTTTTAGGGAATCAAATCACTTTTGATACGATTGAGACATCAAACCTTTTAAAAATCGTATTCGATTATTAAAATCTTATTACTAATTAGTTAATTGATGAAAGTCTCCAATAAACGATCATTTCCACGAGTGATAAACAGATTAAAATTTACTTTCATTGGATCACCTTTTGAAAAGCAGATCACCGAAAAAATCAACTTAGTATAGTTAAAATGAGGAATAAATGGAAGTATAGCTGAAATAGTTTTCATTCCGAATGAACGTGCATTACACTTACTTCCTGAGTATTTTAAAGCTGTCTTTTTCAATATGTTTTCTAACGATTCAAACTGGATTATTTTATGCGTGCTTTGGCTGGATGTGAGTGTGAGTTTGAATATTGATGAATAGAAGACTAACATTCACCCATACACATCTGCATCCACAAATTACTTACATCCTCTGCTAGGATGATTGACATGTTTCGATATGTCTTCGAAATTATTGTAATCAACTACCCACTTCCGCAGAACATACAGAATGCTACTAACGAATCAAAGGTACTCAATTCCTCGTCATCATAAAGCCATCCTCTTAAACCATTAACTGATCTTCGACAGTGCGTTCAAAATTGTACTTTTTTTCTCGTGCTAAACTCGTGTTTGTTCACTTACACTTCAATATCTAACTGTTAACTTGTAGATCAAATTCTTACGTCGACACCACTCCTTCAACGATCTGCCATCAACCAAACTTTGCGTTACAGTTAACTAACTAAGCATTGCAATCTTCAACGTGACGCAAATTTTTGATATAATTCCCTAAAACAGAACTTCGAAAAATAGCTTTCATAAAGCTGCAAAAAAAACTATAACCCAATTCAGTTGTTGTCTGAACTGAGCATAGTCTTTTTAGTTCTTTTAAACAAAAATACGTCATTTCATAATGATATTTCGTGAGTATCTATCCTAATTATACATTATCAAATTACTTTGAAATCTTCTTTTAGGTTCATCACACATAATAATTCAGAGTAAATTTGACTTGAATACATTCATAGAGAACAATGCTTATATCTCTCCTTTTAAGTCTATCACATAGGAAATATATCGTTAGTTCTATCTCAACTCATCAAACAAAAAGACTACCTTCACATCTCTTCATTCAGATTCATATGATGATTTAAATAAGGCTGAGCTTAATTTTACTTTATAAACTACCTACAACACTCTATCTCTTCTTTCAGGTTCACATATTGAACTGAGTACTTATGAGTTCGTGATAAACTAATTATTAGAAAATAATACTCATATCTCTTGTTTTAGACTCATGTGATACAGTAAAGAATGGTAAGTACGATTTAAACCTATAAACTAAAACAATTATTTTTATCTCTTATTTCAGGTTCATATGAGTAAATGAACACTGGTGAGCTCGGTATTAATTAATAGACAGCATTATACATATCTGTTGTTTAGTCTTTAGTGATACAATAAATCACGGTGAGTTCGATATAAATCAATTAATATCAAACAATATGCAAATCTCTTGTTTTAGATTCATACAACAGAATAACAAAAAAATGGTGAGTTCAATTTAGATCTATACAATAAAAGTATTATTTATATTTGTTTTTTCAAGCTCACATGATATGATATGTTCTCGTAAGCTCGATATTAACTAAGAGAAAACATTATTCATATCACATTTTCGGGTTTTTGTAATATAACAAATCATGGTGAGCTCGACATTAATTAGTTAATACCAAACTAAATTCATATCGCTTCTTTTAGACTCATGTAATAGAAAAAGACATGGTGAATTCGATTTAAACCTATAAACTAAAAGAATTACTTCTAACTCTTCTTTTAGATTCACATGATAAAACACTATTGGTGAGTTCGAGATTACTTAATTAATAGAAAACATTTTTTATATCTCTTTTTTAGGTTTTTATAATACAAGAAATCATCGTAAGTTCGGTATAAATTACTTAATAGGAAACAATATTGATATCTCCTGTTTCAGATTCATGTGATAGAAGAAAATGGTGAGTTCGATTGAAACCTATAAACCAAAAGAGTTATATCTATCTCTTATTTTAGGTTCATATAATAAAATAAATCATGGTGAGTTCGATATGAATCAGTTAATAGCAACCAATATTGATATCCCTTCTTTAGCTTCATATAATAGAAAAGAAAAGAATGATGATTTCAATTTAAAGCCATAAACTAAAAGTTTTATTTATATCTCTTTTTTCTAGGTGCACATCGTAAAATAAATACTGGTTCGTTAGAAATCGATTAATTAATCAACAAAAAAAATTTTTCACTCCTCTTTTTTACGATCTTTGGGATAAAACAAATAATGGTAAGTTCGATTTAAATCAATTAATAAGAGACAATACTCATTTCTCTTGCTTTAGATTCATGTGGTAGAATTAAAAAATGGTAAGTTCGATATAAAGCTATAAATTAGGAATTATATTTATATCTCTCATTTTCAGGTTCATATGATAAAATGAGAGTTGGTGAATTCGGTATTAAATAGATAATATACGTGGGCTACTCTGAAAGTTTTTAAAATTTTCATTAAATTTAATAGATATATATGAGTTTGATAGTTGTAGCAGTAGAGTCAAGTCTTAGAAGAAAGTCCACAAAGTTTTGACTCTCAGACATTTCTTCTTTCGTTTTGTTGACGTGATCATAGTAAACTATAACTCGAATTTGGTCTTGTGTGAGATTCATACGAGGCTGGAAATAATATTTTGCCAGGGGGTATCACTAGAATTTCGAATAGAATAAATATTGAATTTTACACTAAACGAAAGCCCATCAAAACTGGAATTTATTAGTACTAAACGATGAGGGTTATGAAAACTTTCGTATGTTGAAATCTCTAAATTTAGAAAGTTTCACCTACCATAAATGTGAGAAAAGTTATCTCAATTTCCTAAACTTAGACATTTCAACGTACAAAAGTTTCCATAACCCTTATTGTTTAGTACCAATAAATCCCATTTTTGACGGACTTTCGTTTGGTATAAAATTCAATATTTACTCTATTTAAAATTATAACGATATTCCTCTAGCAAAATATTATTTCCAGCCTAGTATCACTTAATCTACCACAAAACGAAAGGAGAAATGTCCAAGAGCCAAAACTCTGTGGACTTTCTTCTAAGACTTGACTCTACTACTACAACTATCAAACTCATACATATCTATTAAATTTAATGAAGATTCTAAAAACTTCCAGAGTGACCCACGTACAACATTATTAGTACTCTTTCTTAGGTTTCTGAGATACAATAAATTATCAGGAGTTCGATATAAATTACTTAATAGGAAGCAATATTGGTATCTCTTATTTTAGAGTCGCGTGCTAGAACAAAAGAGTGGTGAGTTCGATTTAAATTTATAAATTCGAAGTTATATTTATATCACTTCTTCCCGGTTCACATGAGAAAATGAATACTAGTGAGTTCGGTATTTATTAAAGAATAGACAACATTATTCATATGTTTTTTTTAAAATTTTTGCAATACAATAAATCATGATGAGTTTGATGTAAATTACTTAATAGAGAAACAATATTGATGTTTCTTGTTTTAGATTCACGAGATGGAATAAAAGAATGGTGAACTCGATTTGAACCTATATACTAAAGATGTGACTTATACCTCTTGTTTCAGGTTCACATGAGTAAATCAATGCAGGTAAGTTCGATATTGATTATAATTAGTAGAAATTATTTTTCATATCTGTTTTTAGATTTTTTGCGATGCAATATATTATGGTGAGTTCAATATAAATTAAGTAATAAGAAACAATACTCATTTTTCTTGTTTTAGAATAATGTCATAGAATAAAAAATGGTCAGTTCCTTTTAAGCCTATAAACTTAAAGTATTATTTATATCTTGTTGTTTGAGATTCGCACGACAAAATGAATACAGGTAAGTTCGATATTATTTAAATAAGAGAAAAGAAAACGTCATTCATATTTTTTTTTTAGGTTGTTGCGGTATAAAGATAATGGTGAGTTCGATATAATCTTAGTAAGAAGAGAAAGCAGTGATTTCTGTCGTTTTAGATTCATGTGAGAAAGTAAAAAAAACTGGTGAGTTAGATTTAAACTTAGTTGTTAGATTTTATATTTGTGTCTCTTGTTTCAGATTCAGATGATAAAAGAAATAATGGTGATTTTGGTTTCAAAGAATAAATGAGTAACACTATTCATGTCGTTTATTTTTTTAGTTTTTTGCCACAGAATGAATCATGGTGAGTTCGATATACATGAATTAATTGGAAATGATGTTGATATCTCTTATTTGAGATTAGTATGTAAGAATCAGAAACGGTGAGTTTGATTGAGTTTCATAAATAAAATCATATATTTCTTGTTTAGATTCAAGTGGTGGAGTATAGTTGTTCAAGTTTGATTTATTGGTATTAGTTGCAAAGAGATTACATATTGGTTGTTTTTGGTTCCTATTTTGGGATAAATAATGGTGAGTTCAATTGCATATGAATGAGTGCTGATTTTCATTGTCATATGTCGTTCTAGGGTTGCATTGATGTTAATCTTAATGTTGTGTTGAATTGAAAAATGTGAATAGAAATACAAAATTATGTGTACGGTTCAGGTGGATCTTGGAAAACAAGTAATGGTGAGTTGATTTTTGGTTTATCAATTCGTCATTTTCCTATTTTTCTGCTGTCAGGTCCTGTGGATAACACTGCATGCATTGATTTGAAAAATCTAAGCTCTATCAATTAAAGTTCTTTTTCACCTCATCTAATACTCATTTTCTGCAATCAGTTGTACGCTGTTGAAATATTGAGGTTTTAATGGGCAAAATTCGTCTTATGATTCGTTTGATGTATCCTGCTACAGATGATGGTGAGTTTTAATGTGAGAATCCGCCGTCCCTTTTGAGTGACTTATACTTATACTATCGATATGAAGAAGCCGATAAGTGTTTGCACTGTTCTCTGGTCATATAAATTACGTATTAGATGTTTGAAGTTTAGATGGAGTCGTAAGCAGAATCAGACTCTAGAAAATCTTTTCTCTTGTGTTCTTGTTCGATTCTTGTAAAATGCTATCGTTCTATAGTTTTTTCTTTTATCCTACCGTCGAATGTGATAGTACAACATGAGTTGTGACGAATCTCAGAGGTAGACTTGATGCAACTATTCTGAGCTTCCGTTTTTGTGTAGAACTTCATGCGTCATACAGGATCTCGCTTCTTTTTTTCGAATTGAGTTGTATTCTGAAAAATATTTGGAACGTCTATTTCGACTTCAAGCGTTGCTTTTGAGCATTTCAACATTCAGTTAATTTCGCTTCATTTGATGATGTGCAGTATCCTATGTTTTATGAGATCGAGACAATTGAATTCATACCTGACCGTACGCATAGATCTCTGCGACCCGAAAACGTCTTAACAATGCAGAAAGGTAGCTGATTCCGGCCGTTAATCACGAATCCCAACTATGAGCTGAAGCCGATGAGGAATAGTAAATGTGAACTGGTTCTAAAAATCAGAGGGTTTAAACATTAAAGAGTCTTAGCATAGTTTAAAAGGTATAATGTTAACGTCCAATTTTTCTGACCATGACCGGTGCTCCATTGCGGTTCCCGACTGTAGGTCTAAAATAGGAATGAAAACTAAATCCTCACATGCTTTAGGAAATGAACGGTTTAAATGTTAAAGATTTACAGGGTAGTGGAAAAAAGGATCGTATTGACGTCCAGTTTGTCTGGACGTGATCGGTTGTCAATTGCGGTTCCCGACTGTGAATCACAAACAGTTGGAAATAGTAAATGTAAAATGGTTTCAAGAAACGTGCCATTTAAACGTTAAGTTTTTCCGACATAGTGAAGAAAAGGATCGTGTTAACGTCCATTTTTACTGATCATGATCGGTTGTCAATCGCGGTTCCCGACTGTGAGTCACAAACAGTTGGAAATAGTAAATGTAAAATGGTTTCAAGAAACATGCCATTTAAACGTTAAGTTTTTCCGACATAGTGAAGAAATGGATCGTGTTAACGTCCACTTTTACAGATCGTGATCGGTTGTCAATCGCGGTTCCCGACTGTGAGCCAGAAAC